CTGGGGGTGGGGGTGTGTCCTTGTGCCTCCCTGACAGTGCCCTGGCAGCTCAAGTGGAAGCGCTTGCTGGACCGCATCTTCAATGACAACTTCTCAGAGGAGGAGGAGGTGGTGCTGCTGGCCACCGACTATATGCACAAGGTGTCTGACCTCATCCGCGTGACGCCCAGCAGGTGAGGGGGGCTGGCACCCCCTGTGCCCTGACACCTTCCCCATCCTGGCAGAGGGTTGGAAATTGAGGTGGGCACAGGGTAGCTGTGGCTGGTGCCATTGTCATCCCCCCCCCCCCTTCTTGGGGAGGCCAGGCTTGGCAGTGGGGACCCTAGAAAGCTCCTGGGCAGAGTCACTGTCTTGAGTACTCTGGTCATGCCCAGCCACCCGCTGAGCCCTGCCATGCTAGAGGTCACCAGACCCATCACACAGCAGGGAGGGACATGGTGCCAGCCTGTTCCTGTTGCCCCCAGAGGCCATGGCCGCCTCCATGGCCTGCCTGGACCCTGGTGCATGCTCCCCACCCTCTCTGTGTGCCTGTGTGTGACCGGTGTGAGGGTCCTGATCTTGCCCCCCATCACCAGGATTCTTCACAACTACATGCTGTGGCGCATCGTGGTGGTGCTGAGTGAGCACCTCTCCACCCCCTTCCGCGATGCCATCCATGAGCTCTCCAAGGAGATGGAGGGCAACGAGAAGCAGCTTGAGCCAGGCAAGGTCTGCCTGAGCCAGGCTAACAAGCACTTCGGCATGGCCCTGGGCGCCCTTTTCGTCGAGGAGCACTTCTCCTCCGCCAGCAAAGCCAAGGTAGGAGATACTGCCTCTGGATACAAAGCCACCACATCCCTCCTGTCACCTTGCCAAGCCCTACCTACTGAGGGCTGTCTGGTGGGGTGATGGGTAGTGAGGACAATGTGCCAGTGCCTGTGGTGACCCGCTGTAGGTACAGCAGCTGGTGGAGGACATTAAATACATCCTGGATCAGCGCATGGATGAGCTGGACTGGATGGATGAGGAAACACGGCGAGCAGCCAGAGCCAAGGTAGCAGCCCCCAGCATGGCCCTGTGCCTTTGCCCCCACCATGGCCCAGGGGCACATGGCATGGGGTCCTTTACTACCCCTCACTCACTTTGCCCACAGCTCCGGTACATGATGGTGATGATTGGGTACCCCGATTTCCTACTGAAACCAGAGGCCATCGACAAGGAGTATGAGGCAAGGGGTGGACTAGGGCGATGAGGGGTCATGGGCATGTGGAGCGGGGAGATTTTCTCCACATCTGCCTCAGAGTCTGTAGAGACCCCAAACAAGCCATCTCCTGGTAGTTGATTTTGCCCACCACTTGCATGGCCACAGGCACTTGGGCAGTGCCATACTGTCCCTGGGGTCTGGGATGATGTCTCCTTCTCCACGCCACACTCCCGAGAGCTCAGCTCTGTCCTCAGCAAGGGACACCAGCATGGTCCAGGAGCCCCATGGAGTTGACGGATATGCAGCTGACCATGGGGGCACAGAGCATGGGACATGAGGACATACTCACGCAGCCACATCCAACTCACGGCCACAACCCTACATCCTCTGTCCCCAAAGCTCATGGGAGTGGAAGGATACCCCAGCCCTGCTCCCATACCCTTGGGGTTGGCATTCTTCCTGACATGGCTGTGTCCCCCAGTTTGACGTGGATGAGAAGACCTACTTCAAGAACATCCTCAACAGCATTGCCTTCGGCATCAGGCTCTCGGTGAAGAAGATCCGGCAGGAGGTGGACAAGTCCGCGTGAGTATTCCCTTGCCCTGGAAAGCATGAGGGCACAGCATGGCTGGTCCCTATGCCCAGTTGTACCCCACAGGGTATAGGCAGGAGGGCACATGGCAAGCCAGGAATACCCCCCATGTCTGAGCTGCTCAAGGGGGTGGCATTTCCATGCCCAGCCGGGGCCCCTGCAGCCTGGCATCACTCTCTCTCCTTGCAGGTGGCTGCTGCCTCCCCAGGCGCTGAACGCGTATTACCTGCCCAACAAGAACCAGATGGGTGAGACATTGCCCAGCCCCTTGGGGTTCAGCTCCCCAGGCTGCTGAATTTGGGGAGGGCCTGGGGTGGTAGTGGCTATGGTGCAGGAGCCCCTGGCGCTGGGTGATGCTGTGGGTGGGTACAGGGCAAGGTACCCGTAACTGCAATGCTCTCCTGTGTCCCCAGTGTTCCCTGCTGGCATCCTGCAGCCCACCCTCTACGACCCTGAGTTCCCGCAGTGAGTATGGGGCTGGAGAATGGCTGGGGGTGCCAGGGCAGGGGATGGGGTCACTGCCATCCCTGCCAGCACTTCACCCTCTCACCTCTGCTCCCTGCCTGATAGGTCACTGAACTATGGTGGGATCGGCACCATCATCGGGCACGAGCTGACCCATGGCTACGATGACTGGGGTGAGCACCCCCCCACTTCATGCCATGCGGGGCGTGGGCAGGCAGGACACCCGGGTCCCTTGCGGTTACCAGTAGTGGTGGTTGCCTCGGCAGGGGGACAGTATGACCGGCACGGGAACCTGGTGCACTGGTGGACAGAGCAGTCGTACAGCAAGTTCCTGAAGAAGGCGCAGTGCATCGTAAACCTCTACGACAACTTCACTGTCTACAATCAGAGGGTGAGACCTCCCTTGCCCACCGGGCAATGCCCTGGCACACCCTGCCCCACGGCGGGCCCCTGCTGCTCCATCGCTGGGGCTGGGTGCCTGCAAGAGAGCAAGGCTCTGCCCTGAGACCCAGCAACTCATCACAAGTCAGCTGGGAAATTCCTCTGGACACCGGGTGGGAGCAACTGAGGCACAGTCTCGGTCTCAGGGTGGGGATGGGGAGGATGCCTGGAGAGGGGGGTACCTCTGCTTACCCCATCGTCTCTCTTGGCAGGTGAATGGCAAACACACACTGGGGGAGAACATTGCTGACATGGGGGGGCTCAAACTCGCCTACTACGTAAGTGTCCCCCTCGAGGGGTGTCATGGCCCCGGCAGGGCCGTGGGGTGGCTGCTGATGGCATCACCCCTGCAGCAGGGAGTGGGCAAGATCTGGCTTGCTGATTGCTGGGAGGTTTGCATAGAGGCGATTCAGGGCAGGCCTGGGGGGATGCCCAGGCAGTGTTGAGGGCCACCCTCTGTTCTCCAGGCCTACCAGAAGTGGGTGCGGGAGCACGGCCCAGAGCACCCCCTGCACCACCTGAAATACACACACGACCAGCTCTTCTTCATTGCCTTTGCCCAGGTGAGCCCCTGCCCTTCCCACATGTGGCATGTACCGGTGGAACTGAGGGTGTCACCCTGTGTATGGCCAGTGGCCCAAAGGGACAGGGCGAGAGCCCTGAGGGGCCTGGTGCCCATGGTCAGGAGTTGGGCTCAGCTCCACCAGCAGGTCCTGGGCTCAGGGTATAAAGCTCAGCCCTGCAAGGATCACCCTGCATTGCCCCATTGTTCCTGCAGACCCTACATAATGAATACATGGCCTACTCATCACCTCCAGAGACCCCACAGTAACAAATGCATATGACTCCAAGCTTCTAGGAGACCCTACAGCCAGGCAGCTCACAATCCCAGGAGGCCCTACAGTAACAATCATGCCTCCATGCTCTTGCAACGCATCTATACCACACACACAGGCTCCCAGGAGACCCTACATTAACAGCTACAACCAGGGCATTGCTGCTCTAATACCCCAGCAGCATCTATTCCCTGGTGGGTGACGGAACCCAGGATGCCCCATCTGGCTCACCAGTGGGAACCTTTCTCCCCTGCAGAACTGGTGCATCAAGCGGCGATCCCAGTCCATCTACCTGCAGGTGCTGACAGACAAACATGCCCCAGAGCATTACAGGTACTGGTTGGCCCCAGAATGGAGGGGGGATAATGGTGGATGCCAACCTTCCCCATAGCTGGTGGTGCCAAGCAAAGTAGAGTGGGCACCCCTTGGAGTGCTGGCACCAGCAGGCTTTGGGTGGGCATACCTGGGCAAGGGGATGGGTGCTGCTGGGCTGAGCAGGTGCCCAACTGGGGCCCATGGCAGTGGGGGGGGGGAGGGGGGGGCATGGTGTGCCCAGCTTTGTGTTGCCTCCTCTCCTGGCAGGGTCCTGGGCAGTGTCTCTCAGTTTGAGGAGTTTGGACGTGTTTTCCACTGCCCCAAAAACTCACCCATGAACCCGGCGCACAAGTGCTCAGTGTGGTGAGGCCAATCCCCCCTCGAAGGCTGGCATCCCCCATCCCCATCCCTGCTGCAGTGACACACTGTGCCTGCTCCACACCTCTGCACACCTCCTCCTCCTACTCTCCAGGCAAAGAGGGCACCCCTGGGTGACATGGAGGGTCATCCTCTGCCCCCAAAGATAGGCACCTGCCAGAGGGGTGGGGGCAGCATGGAGACATTTGGGGTGAGCATGAGCTCTTGTGTGGATGCAGCTGCCCCCTGTCCATCCCCTTCCTACCCCTGTGCCCTGCATACTATGGGGGTCCTGAGTCCTCACGGAGGAAGGAGGGAATGCCCAGACTCCTGTGTACCCCCTCTTCTGTCCACCCATACCAAATCCTTCACCCAGCCCTGCCACATCCAGCCCAGCACCAGTCGAAGCAGGGAGAATGAACCAGACACATTGTGGGGCTACCCCACACCAAAAGCCTCCCCCTGCTTGGTGCCCTCTCAGGCACCCCCCATGCCAGCTCCTTCCTGTTCCCGCATCAGCCCTGCCAGTGGGTGGGCAGAGCTTGTGGCCGGGTGATGCCAGCCTGCCCCGGAGCGTGGGGTCAGGGATGCCTGCTGTATTTGTTGCTGCTGTTTCTGGTCAATAAAGCACTGGATATGCCAGGCGGATGCAAGAGGCCGCGGTGAGGGGACGGGCAGCAGTGGGCAGCACCCCCAGCCCTGCCTGCACAGCATGGGGACCCACACAGCACTAACACAGCTGTCTCAGTAGCATCACATTCCATATTTATTAAACACTCAGCACCTGTGCAGGTGGTGTAGGGGCCCCCCATTCCTGGATATGGTGCCTCATGACTGCCATGTCCAGATCAGGGATACTCCAAGAAGTTACCATCCACCTGTGGGTGCTGCAGCAGTAGGGAGGGGGGAATGCAGGGCTGTGGGGTCAATGGAAGAGGGGCAGGAGGACAGTGGGGAGGAGCAGGGCCAGGAAGGTGGTATGGGCTCCAGTGGCAGAGTTCCGCTGCTGGCAATCAACATAGGGTTCGAGGCAGGCGGCGTAAGCCATGGCATGGGCCACATAGGTCTGCTCCTGCACCCCGTGGAAGAGGTGGGCCATGGGACCCTTGGCCAGGATGGCCACATCCTCACCACCATGGGACTCCGACTTGAGGGGCACAGCTGCCTGCTGCACGTAGTCGAATTCATCTGGGGAGGGGAAAGGAGGGAGTGAGGGGGATAGCAGTGGCCCACAGCCCTATCCCACCACCCGACCATGGTCCCCGTGCCCTCACTGGCTGTGGCTTCATTCACGTTGGGCCGAACAGCACCCACGTAGCCTGGCCCGTTCCCATAGAGGATGGCTGTGTAGCTCTTATTGTCAGCAGCTTTGCTTGGAGCCAGACCTGGGGAGAGGGCAATAGTGGGTAGTCTGCCAAGAAACGCCCATATCATCCCTCCAGCTGCAGCCAGGGTGTCCCAGAGCTGGCAGCGCCTGCCATAGGGCTGTGCCCCACTTTTGGTGGCTGGGCAGAACTCTACCGAAGATGGAGGCACCACGCAAGGCGTAGCCACCAAAGCTGAAGACGTGTGAGTGGTCAGCGGTGACCACGGTGAGGGTGTCCGCCTCATCTGTCAGGGCGCCTGCCCGGTCGATGGCCCGGTCAAATGCAATCCCATCCGTCAGTGCCTTCTGGGCTGCACCTTCGTGGTGGCCGTGGTCAATCCTGCCACCTGCAGAAGGGCATCCAAGGTGGACTGGGGACTAACGGCAGCACCCCAAACTCCTAACCCTATCCAGGGATGTGGGACCCCCCTCCTCTTGCCCACCCCAGGTAAGCACTTACCTTCCACAAAGAGGTAGAAGCCTTTGGGATTTCTGCTCAGGATGGTGATGGCAGCCTCTGTCATTTCAGTGAGCGATGGGTCCAAGGTGGTGTTACGCACCAGGTCATACTTCATATCCATGGGTTCAAAGAGACCTGGGAGGGGACACATTGGGAACGGTCTCAATGCCTGCATGCATCCTGGTAGCTGTTAGATCCTGGCATATAGGATATTTGTTACCCATCAAGTAAGTCACGCTGGGGTCAGCAGCTGCAGCCAGCATCTCTGTCCTGTTCCAGACATAGCGGGCACCCTGTGGACAAATCCCACAGAGGGTTAGCAGGTGATGGACCCCATGCCTGAGGATGATGGGCAGAGGACTGTCCCTGCTGCTTTACCCACCGGCCGTGCCTCCAGCCACATGTTGATAAGGTTTTTCCCGTCCCCCCGTATCCCATTCTCTGTTTCATAGGTAGGATATTCGGGGTCCGGCGTCCCTGCAGGGGTCATGTATATCCTACCACCCCCCATGATAACCTGGAGGGGATGAAATGGATGTAGTGTCAGTGGGAGTGCCGGGGGGGATCTACTCTTGCTCCTTCCCTCCCATGCACAGGCACTCACATTGATGTCAACGTTGTGGACCATCTGCCAGGCGATGTCCTTGCAGCCTTGGAGACGGGCCTCCTCGGGTATGCTGACATCCGCGTACCAGTTGCGGTCCACCACATGGGCATAGGCCCCCGAGGGCGATGCATGCTGCACCCGTGATGTCGTCACGATGCCCACCGCCTTCCCTGCGGCCCCCACACACATGAGGCCCCAGGAAGGTTGACATGGTATCCCCCACCACCAAGCCCCGGGATGCTCATGGCACAGCAGCCCCTGGTGTCACAGCCCTCATCCCCAGTGGGGTCCCTCCCAGCTCTGCACCCCCTGTTACCAGCTTTGCGGGCTCGCTCCAGCACTGAGACAACCTCATTGCCTGCCGTGGTGTTGCACTGTGAGAGGCGGGCAGCTGCACTCACTCCCGCTGTGTGGTAGTTGCCCTTAACCCCGCAGAGGTAGGCTGTGGAAGTCGATGCGCTGTCAGAGACAATCCGGTCCACACTGTACGTCTGCCAAGGACACATGCCAGGCTCAGAGCAGGGGACAGTTGGCAGAAGCACCCAGCGGGCTGTCCCCCTCCCAACACCCCACACCACACTCCATTGCTTACCTAAGGACAAGCAGGATGGGCAGAGACCCTGTGCACCCCATATGTGCATTTGTGCCAGCAGCCCCACTGACATCACCCCGGCCCTGTGCCCCGTGTGGTGGGAGTTTACCTTGGAGAGAGCCACATAGGGGAAAGAATCCAGGGCGAGGGGGGTCTCAGGGCCCAGCTTCCCCTGCTGCTGCCCGTTTAGAATGCGGGTGGCCGTGATGGAGGGGACCCCGAATCCTTGGTGAGAAGAGAGGGTCCCAGTCACCCTCTGGACCAGGTGCCCTCCCCACATTCTGCTCCATGGGGCACTGCTCATGCCAGCCTCTCTGCTGGGCGTGCCAGTGGGACTCACCATCTCCAAGGAAAATGATGAGGTTTTTGGCTTCGGTTACCCTGGGCTGCAGCTTGAAGGAGGCCTCAATGGCTGCGGCTGCCTGCCTGTTCCAGAAGGCTGGATCCTCCTCCTCCACTGGGACAGGGCAGTACCTGTCAGCCCCTGCTCACCAGCACCTCCATCCCTGTAGCTCCTGCATCCCTTGGGTACCCACATCCACTGGGGACTTGTTCCCTGGGCATCCACATGCTGAGGCCTCCTCCAGCATGGACTGAATAGCTCAGGGTACTGTTTGGGGTGGGGGTAGACCATGTGGGCTTGCACCCACTGCCTGCCCCAGAGATCCTGGGGCAGGGAAGGAGGAGGGTAGTAAAAATGAACACAATGGGGAGTTATTTGGCAGGTGGGATGGGGCCAAATCCATGGCAAGGAGGGGATGCTACAGCCACTTTCCCCAGACCCTTCCAGCCCAGAAACCTGCAGAAACCTGATCCCATAGGGAAAAGCTGGTCCAAGAACCCCAGAAAAGCAGGGGTAAATCCATCAACCATTGCAGGGCTAGGAAGCGCCTGCTCCTCTCCCCAAACCCTCCTTGTGATCAGCCAGGCTGGTGCCCTGCTGGGTGCCCTGCTACAGCCAGCCAGGTGCACATCCCCATCCTTGTCCCCACCTGGGATGACAGCAGTGCTGAGCTCTGCCCGAAGGCCCAGGCAGAGGATGAGGAGCGCCGGGAGCTGCATGGTGAGATCCGGTAGCCCAGCACCGCTGGCAGTGTCTGCATTTCTAGCAGATCTGGGGAGGGACTTTGGACTGGTATCAGCCCTTGCAGGGTGTGTGGAGGTGTTCAGCATGTCCCTGATAGCCCAGTGCCAGGCATCCAGCACAAAGGCCATGGGCTGGGCTGCTGGCGCCTCTGTGGTGCTGCTGGGGTATGGATGGACTCGGGGCACAAACAGATGCAGGGGGCAAGAGGATGGGCAGTGCCTGGCAGGCATCACTGCCTGCCCAGCCTACAATGCTGTGGTGCCAGGCACGTGCATGACCTGGCACAGGGTGTCACAGGCAGTACTGAGCATTGGACCTGGGGCAACAAGGGTATTGGAAGCACCTGGGGTCACTCCTGTACCAAGCCCAGCACTTGTGCAATAAATCCATGGATGTGGACTAAAACCCTGCTCCTTGTTCAACCCTTGCAGAAAGGTACCAACACTTGCATACTGTGCCCCAGCCTGATAAAACTGGGGGGGGAACATGGCCTCCTCTCACCCTTGTTTCATCACCCCCTTTACCCCAGCGCTTTCAGTGCTGGTCCCAGGGGAAGAACTAGGAGCCATCACCACCTGGGGAAACAGAGGTATGGGGCAATGCCTGAGGAGGTGACCACTGCTGCAAATCCTTGCACTGCAAATGGAGTCAAACAACTGTGTTTTATTGCATTCCTTGATCCTGGCCATGGTGGCGACTCGGCTGCCACGACCCTTGATGGTGTGGCGAGGGGAGGGGGCAGGCAGCCAGGGCTGAAGTGGAGCTTGGCTGGGGGGGTCTCACTCTGAGCCCCCCACCACGTGGGCAGCCACACAGAGGGCCAGGAGGGCGAGCAGGGGCTGTGGTGCACACTGGGTGCCACGGGAGGCCCTGCGGGCTGCGCCACATCCAGGCTCAGTGGCGTAGGGCTTGAGGCAGGCGGCATAGGCCATGGCATGGGCGATATAGTGCTGCTCCTGCACACCGTGGAAGAGGTGGGCCATGGGGCCCTTGGCCAGCACCACCACGTCCTCCCCGCTGTGGGTCTCCACCTCCAGGGGCACAGCTGCCTGCTGCCTGTAGTCCTTGTCCTCTGTAGGAGAAATGGGGCTGGGGGCAGCAGGCTCTCCTACCCATCTCAGGGATAGGCAACAGCTTCAATTACCCCAGCACTGGGGCAATTCATGCCCAAGTGACTCCTGAATGACACAGTACACAGGGACTCCATGCAGCTCCAGTGGCCATGCCTATGGGATGCTGCCATCAGCCACCTTGTGCCCCCATCCCATCCCATCCCATCCCATCCCATCCCATCCCATCCCATCCCATCCCATCCCATCCCATCCCATCCCGTTCGCAGCAGATTCCTACCTGCAGCGCGGAGGCTGGGGGACGGGCGGCCCCCATTGCGAATGCTGTAGCCAGGACCATTGCCATAGAGGATGCTGGTGTAGGCTTGCTTGTCCTTGGCTTTCTTGGGGGCCAGCCCTGGCACAGGGAAAGACACTGTCATCTCCTGTCCCAGCCAGGTACCTCTCCCCAGCTACCCATCTCAGCTGGCTCAGCCTTCGGTGGGAGTAAAAGAGGGAGATGGGAGCAGGGATGCTAACCACCCCTCCCCGAGACCCACCAAAAATGGAGGTGCCACGCAGCGTGTTGCCCCCAAAGGTGAAGACATGGGAGTGATCAGCTGTCACCACAGTCAAGGTGTCGGAGGGGGAGGTAAGCTCGCCTGCGCGTGCCACTGCCCGGTCCAGCATGACGGCTTCCATCAGTGCCTGCTTGGCCCGGCCGCTGTGGTGGCCGTGGTCAATCCTGCCACCTGCACAGGGAACATGGCTATCACCCTCTTCCTGGTCCCCTGGGACACCCCGTGCTCCAAAGACCCGCATCCCACCCCAGCCTCAGCCACACTGCCCAGCTGGGGCTACTCAACTTCCACAAAGAGGAAAAAGCCTTTGGGGTTCCTGCGCAGGATGCGAATGGCCTTCTCTGTCATCTCCACAATGGAGGGGTCCGTGGAGGTGTTGCGGTTTAGCTCATACTTCATGTCCTTGGGCTCGAAGAGGCCTGGGGAAGTAGGGTGTGGGGAACATCCGTGACGGGGCTGCTTTGTGCTCCTGCCAGCAACCCCAGAGCAAGCAGGAGGAGAGATTGCTGGTGGTGCAGGCAGTGATGCTCTTACCCATCAGGTGGCTTGTGGAGTCATCCTCGACTGCATCCATGCCCTTCTTGTCCCAGACGTAGCGGGCACCCTGCCAGTGGGAACAGAGCCGGTGCCAACAGCACATGCAGCATGCCTGGCACCATGTCCCATCCACACGGCTATGGTACCTGCTTGGCATTCAGCCACTTGGCAATCAAGTCGAGGCCATCCCTCCTGGTGCCATTCTGAGCCGGGTCCTCTGGGTACTCGGGGTCTGCAGTCCACTTGGGGGTCATGTACATCCGCCCGCCACCCAGGATCACCTGCTGGGGAGCTCAGCAGACCCTCTCAATGTTCCCCATGTCCCCTCCCTCCCATGACCTCTCCCCAACTCACATTGATGTCCGTGTTGTGCACCAGCTGGTAGGCGATGTCCTTGCAGCCATCCCGCAATGCCTCCTTGGGCATGTTGGCATCGGCATACCAGCTCCTGCTGGCCGAGTGGGCATAAGCTGCCCCTGGGGATGCGTGCTGCACTCGCGTGGTCGTCACGATGCCCACCGACTTGCCTGCAGCGTGGGCAAGCATTTAAAAAAGAGCCTGTCCAGCCCTGGGATGGCCATGCTATGTCAGGCTCTCCTTGTTGGGTCGCCTGCTGCTCCTACCTTCCAGCCTGGCCCGGTGCAGGACTGAGTCCACCTCGTTGCCAAAGGTACTGCGGCATTTGCCGTAGACAGCTGCCCCACTCAGCCCCAGCGTCTTGGCATTGGCCTTCACCCCACAGAGGTAGGCTGTGCCTGTGCCAGCGCTATCGGGCACCTGCCGGTCGATGGTGTAGGTCTGGAAGCAAGCAGGGGACAGTGGGGCTTTGTACAGGGGGCACCAGGGCCGCCCCCCGTGCTGCCCCACTCACCTTGGCCAGGGCCAGGTGGGGAAAGGCCTCCATGGCCAAGATACTCTCCTCGCCTGAGCCGCCAGCCAGCTGCCCCTTGTAGATCCGAGCCGCCGACATGGTGGACAGCCCCATGCCTGCAGGAACCACAGTGTGGGGTGGTAAGCGGCAGGGGCCTGGGACAGTCCTGGCCTCCTCCGGCATTGCCCCGTACCAGCTGGGGAGGAGAGAACCTGCATCAGCCCTGCCTTCTCACCAGCCATGTCCCCTGCCTGGCTGGAACCCGGGGGACTCACCATCACCCATGAAGAGGATAACGTTTCTGGCCCGCTGTGCCGCTGGCTGCAATGCCAGTGCCGACTTCAGCCTCCTCCTGGCCCCTTCATTCCAGTAGCCTGGGGTCTTCTCGGCATCTGGAGGCAAGCGCAGAGCTGGGGATGTGCAGAGGCACTCGGCAGCCTGAGGGTCACCAGGGGCATCCCCTCCCTGGGACCAGGGTGCACATCTCTACCCAAGGTAAATTCAGTTGCTCTGATCTCCCTCCATGGAGGCCTCAGAGGGTCCAGGAGCCCTTTGGGGATCAGCCTGGTCTTTGGAAAGCTCAGCATTGCCCAGAGCCCATCTGCACAGGGGGAAACTGAGGCAGAATTTGGTAGGAAAGTTCCCTGGGCCTTTCAGCAGAAGGTCTGACTGGGGCATCAGCTCCCTGCATGAGTGTGCAACGTCTGAGCAACTGCAGCCAGTTGCGGCTATTGAGACACTTGATCCCAAGCCTGTCAAGGGCAAGAGGGCAGCGGGGCTGGGGGAACAGGGACAGGGCCTGCTTTGGTGGGGACTGAGACGAGCCCATTCAAAGGCTGGGGTCTCAAACCACCCTGAGTTGCCTAGGAGGGTTTGCAGTTGCTTGTATCCCCATAGGGAGGCGAGTCCTCAGGGAAGTGACGCCAGCCCCAGCGCCCCCCCCCCCCAAGGTCTCCTACCCCTTTTCCCCATGTCCCCTGTTACCTGAAGTTGCAGCAGCGAGCCAGACGAGGAGGCAGAGAAGAAGGCAGGTTCCAGGGAAGAGCGGCCACCCCATGCTGCCCACCCCAGCTCTCTCCTGGAATGCTGCCTGCATCCAGGGCGGGGGACACAGCCCTTTATGGCCCTTTCCTGTCCCACAGGCAGGCCCCTCCACAGGTGAGACGATGAGGTGATAACATTGAAACTATCTCTCAGCCCTGCCCAGGGCCCTCCCAATGCCCCCAGCCCCCCTGGGGCCATCCCTGCCCCCCACCAGCGAGGGAGGACCTCCAGCCCTTCCCTGGGAACCAGAGCACCCAGTGGCCCCCAGCTCCCACGGGGCGGCTGCCTGCGGGACCCCAGGGAGCGGCAGGGAGGGTGCAGGGCAAAGTGCTGTTTTTGCAGACAGGCTGAGCTGGGCCAGGCTGGACTGGCCTTGTTTCCAAGGAGGGGGATATCTTGCCTTTGGTGTCAGTGTCCTCGGGTCCTGTCTCCCAGGGGACACAGTCCCACACTGCCTGTCAGGCTCTGGGACCAGTGCCCAACACACGGGGCACAATGGGGTAGCCTATGCCAGCTCATCTGCACAGCGAGGTAACCTGCTGCAGGCAGGGAATAGCCACATGTCACCAGCACCCAGTGAGGAGCAGGAGGAACAGGCCGTTTTCCCCAGCTCCCACCTCGGAAGGTAACATTCATGTGTGGTTGCACCAGGCCATCTGGAAGGATGCCACCAGCAGCACAAGCCCTGGGGACTGCAGGTGACCCTGATGCTGTTTGCCAGCTCCTAGAGAACATGTTGTACCCAGCCCCTGAGCCAGGCAGCCCGGGTTTGGCCAGCTCCTGGCTCCTGCAAAGGGCAGATGTGACTGTGCCAGGGCCACATCTGTCACCACACCGATGAGGTAAAGCAGGCCCCCCACCCTGCCTGGCATGATGGATCCACTCCTTCACTTCAGACATCATCCCTCTACCAGCCGCTGCTTGTGGCTGCCCAACCCTGCAGGGGTGATGAAGTGATGAAGTGGAGCACCAGGGCCCATGCCTCTGGAGACATCTTGCACAGTGTTGGCGAGGGACATGGGGATGGGGAACAGGCAGAGATGCCTGGAGATTTCAGAGGAGCTGGTTGGTCCATGAGGGGCTGGATGCTCTCTTGAGCAGCAAGAAGCAAGAACACGGGCTGCAGGGCCCTGAGGGAGGTTAGACTG